GGCGAGGCTTTGAACGAGGCTCCTGTGTATTTTAAGAATTTCTATTTCGCTTCCTTTTCGAACTGTCTTGAGAAGCACCTTTTACGAGCGAAATTATCAGTCTGATGCAGATGTTTGCTCCACAACTTTTTGCAAAGAAAGTGACGATGCAATTTTAGAGACGTTAACAACTTCAAGTTCCCCGTTTCGCCAACTTTCTAATCCCTTTAGAGTACATTTTTGAGCAGGAAGATAGCAAACAGAAGGTACTAAAATTCTTGCACGATATACAATCTGGGAACAACGGGGTATTTCTTCATCGCCCTATGAATTGAGCTAGGGCGCAATAACTTCATCTTTAAATACTTTGAAATCTTAGCTTGACTTTTTTTGGATTTACTGTAATCCTATGCAAGAAAGGGACTATGAAGGCTAAGTTGCATGAATGGCGGCTGCTTCTCAAAATCTGTGCCTTACCTTTCGAAAGTAACGATTTTTTTGGCTGATCGAGCTCTTCAAGGAATCACATCGTCGCGAGTGGGTTTGACAATTTCGGCTTCAATATGCGTCCAAACCAACTTTACACACATAACAATTGTCAAAATACAGTTACACAATAAGGAAAGAGACGCAATGCTCACGTCTCGCTGAGCTAAAAATGCCGTGCATATAGTTCTACAGAGTTAATTGAACAAACTTATTTTCCTGCGTCTTGTATCCTGTTGAGCTAAAACCCCTTTTTAGGTATGCTCCAGCTCAGATTTGGACACAGCATTCTCACCATGTCGCCACATCTATGCATGTCATGACTGCGCTAAGGTTATCCTGCGGACAACTGGCTTGTGCCCAGTCTGCAATCACACCATCGTTGATGTCGACCGATGCTGAACAGATCGATAACGTCTCGTACTTGAGCTTATTCACTTCCATTCTATCCGTATTTTGAAAATTGTTTAATTTGATGGTCAGTATTGATCAGGTTTGAGAAGGTGTAGTGCATGTGTTTGCGGTTTGGTACTTTATGATTTTCTTTCGTGGTTAACC